TAACTCAGGTTATGCAGGTTATGGACCCTGAGAAGGTCCAAATGCCTCTGCAGTGCAGGTCCCATTAAAATAGATTACTCAAGGCCTTAGCTGGATGAGTTTTCACTATCTCCAGGAGCAGAGACCTGTCTGGGTCCTCTTCCAGTGTTTGATCACCCTCAGGTGGAGATTTTTTTTTTCCTAATACCCAGTTGGAATTTCCCTTGCTGCATTTTGTGCCTCTCATCCCATCATGGTACCTCCAAGAGCAGCCTGACTCCATTGTCACTCCCTGTCCCACTGAGCAGCCACAGACCACAACAGGGTCTCCTCTTTGCCTTCTCCTCTCTGGGCTGAACAAACCCCACTCTCAGCCTCTTGTCCAACCTCATGTGCTCCAGCCCCGACCACCTCAGGGGCCTCCATGGGACCTGCTGCAATATTGCAATGTCTGTCCTGTGCTGGTGAGCCCCAGGCTGAACCAGCATCTTGATGGGTCTCGCTGAATGGAGGGGAGCAATCCCTGCTCTCGCACTGCTGCCTGCCCTCAGGCCATCAAGGGTACAGTGCTGAGTCCTGGTGTAATAGGTCCACTAAGGGCCCTCTTGGCCTTTTCTGAGAGCTGTTCCTGGCTCCTTGACTCCCCACGTTACTCCATCCCTCATGCAGGACTTTGCATTTTGCCTTTCTTGAACTTCTGAGGTTCCTCCCTCGAGCTTGTCTAAGTTCCTCCTCTCCTGCATATCAGCTGCAGCCCCGCAATGTGGTATTGTTCACGTAAGTGTTTAAAACACTTAGGAGTACGGTTGCCACTATTGACTCATTATTTTTTACTGGTAACCTCTGCTGTTAGGCCTACCCAGTCCTTGAGCCTAGTAGCAGGTTATGTGGGAGGGAAGTCATCACAGAGAAAGGTAAGAGTTAGTGCTTAGACAGAATGGTCCATCCCGATGCGCAGAAAGTCAAGCAGGCGTGGGAGAAGGTCTGCATGGGTGAGCAGGGCACTCCTGCCTGAGCTCACGCACGCACAGACAGCGCTGAGATGGTGGAGCGGGGATGGAGCACCAAGGAGTGGCAGTGAGAGGCTGCCCGAGCAGACATGGATGTTGTTAGGAAGTCCACAGCTCAACCAGAGTTGAACCTGGCAAAGGATGTGATGGGCAGCGCAGGGACTGATTCAGGGCTTCACCCTAGCAGGGCCCTGTAGTCACTCGTGATAGACCTGAGATGTCCGTTGGCAGTGGTATCGGTGCACACATGGCATCAGGAGGAAGGAGCAGTCGTCCAAGGGCTTGGATGAGCCTTGGCAGTCTCCCCACACGCTGGGGGGAGTCTGAGCTGCTGGCAAGCAGCATGCTTGTCAAAACAGCAAATCTGGTGGCGAGCAGGTTCTTCGTTCTCTGCAGAAGGGAGTCTCCAGCCATGCTCCTCTGCCACTGCCTCTTCCTGTTGGTGTGAGTTTCAGGCTTGGGTGGCTGTGATGACTCCCTTGAGGAAACCTGTTCCTCTTGCCTGTTACCGCCAAGCTGTTAATGCCTATTCTGTAAGTGCATATCTCCTGGCGGTGAAAGAGCTGTTCTCATGTTCCCAGCTTCCAGCCACTCCTGACCTGGGAGTCTCTGTCCTCTAATTCCTGTGTAGTCTCTGGCTGTTTCATCTTCCATGCAAAATTAGGGTCCAGGAAAACCTGACTGTTTCCATGGTCTCTGCAGAAAACCCCTGTTGAAATTCTGTTCATCCAGAATATATTACATTGTCTTCTTGCCTCTGCCCATAACTCCCATCGCCTGGCAGCACAGTGCCTTGATGAGAGTGCATCTGCTGCAGGTGAGGGACATTAAGGAGAAGCACCAGGTGCTCCCTGCTGCCTGTGACGTGGTTGCCCATGCCCTCACTCAGGAGCTTCATGTGGGTTGAGGCCTCTCATGTGCCAGATACAGTTGCCTCAGCTGGTGGTGGGGACCGTGCCCTCTTGCATGCCACCACTACGGTTGCACAGATCTTGCAGTCCCACACAGCCTTCAGCAGCACCTCCACACCTCCTTCCATGCCCACTGCCTCACTAACTGCCAAGTCCCAGTTTGCCTGGACCAGTTTGCCATGTCCCGCTTGTTCTGTGGTGCCTGAGCATATGTGATACATGTGCTCCCCAGCAGAAGCCCAACGCTCCCTAATCAGGAGGCAGCAAACCCAAGAGCCTGGTTTGTTTGCAGGCAACAAACAATGGCTACATCAACCACCTCCTGCTTGCTGGCCCTGTGTCTTGCAGTCTTCCTGTAGAATAATTCAAGTTGCACATATGTGCAAGTGTTCTGTCCGTGAATTCCTTACAAGTGTGTCATTCATCAGTGAGAGTAAACACGCTGCTGAGTTGCATGTGGTCAGAAGAGTTTGTGTTTCAGGTGTGACTCTTTTAAGGGAGATGCTGAGGGTAATGCTATTGTACTTCAGTCCACGTAGGTAAGTCCTGTAAGTGTCACAGCTTTTATTTGAGTCTTTTTCTTGTGAATGTCAAAGTTCATCTCTTTGAGAACAACCTCAAGACAGAGGAATTGATCTCTTCCAGGTTTACTAGGTGCTTCTTAATTCACCAAATTTTGGTATTGCTCTTCTGATCTTAACAGATTATTTCAGTTGGGGTTTTTTTTGCTTTTGAATTTCATTTTCTGTGTCCCTCAGTTCCCAGGAACAGTAATTCCTTTGTTCAGATGAATGATCATGCTTCCCTCTCCGCAGTACCTCTCTCTCTGGCCATCCAACTCCCCCCAGAGCCTATTATTATGGCAGTCCAGGAAAAAAGAGCAAACCTTCTTACCCTTGCTTACTGTGTAACTCCCATTTTTAATTAATAAGGCCCCTAGGCCCAAGCAATGTAGGACTTTGGGGAGAATGTTGATACAAAATAAAGTTGAAACTCTGACGGAGGGCTGGGATTTATCTTGCTGTGCTCTGCAAGGGAAAGAAAATACATTTAATGTGGGAGTGTTAATAAGTAGTTTTCTTCTGGGCTGTGGAAGTCATAAGGGTAGATGGAACTTCGATAGGTAAAAATTCCTCTGCTGACACGGATTGGCAGGTAGGTTCTGCACGAAGCAACAAACAGGCTGAAACGCCCACTGAACCATGTCAATGGAGCTTATGATTTGACGAAAGGAAACTTGCAGGTAAAATGGATATAAGTGTGTTTGGGGTTTTTTACTGAAATTGTGCAATTTGTTAATAGTGTGGGAATACCCAGACTGCAGTCAAAATCTGGGCTTGTAAATCATGGTGATGTGCAAACATGGGGTGTGTGACTGATGATGCAAAATGAAACATGCAAATGTAGCACAGAGAAAGGGAGAGGAGAGATGGGTAATTTTATTGTTACGGAGACTACCAGTAGGCATAATTGATAGATATGAGCAGCTGGTTTTTAGAAGATACAAATGAGGAGAATTTCATTCATCTTGATGAAGCTGTTTTGGTAAATTGCCAATTGACAGCTACCTGAGCTGTCATCAGAAGACTGAGTCTTAGGATTTGAAAGAAGTATTTCTGTAGTCATATCCAAGCACAGGAGAATGACAAAAGATGCTTGCAGACTAAATGAGCCAAGAGGGAATGAACAGTTGCTTTGTTAGTAGAACGGAGATGGCAAGACTGATGTATTAAGACACAGCAGGGATCACCTCTACTGTGATGGTCTTGATAATATTGATGCTGGGAAACAAGAAACCAGTGGAAGAATCTGAGGAGATAGGTTGGTAGAGAGACTGTTGAGGAAAAATATCTTAGGAACCCAGTTTTTTAACTTCTGGGTAAACTGGATGTTGGGAAGAAGAAATTACAGAAACCAGATCTGAAAATATGGTCTTGAATGAAATACTCGATTTCCCAGCTGTATGCTGGGAAGATTTTTGGACAACATTAGTATTTTTGCAATAATAAGGTACGTCAGAAGGGAGACAAAGTCAGACATTTTAGACTTAGTAGGAAAACAGTATTATTCATGGGAAAAGTCACTAAAAATGGTGATCTGGAATTTTTGTTTTAAGTCAGACATTCATCATACTCAGCATGGCATTGGAGAGGAGAGGATGAAATCTGTAGGAGGGTTATTAGAGCAAAGCTGATAAAGAGTCAATATAAGGATTATAGTTGAAGTCATGTGAATAGATAACAAAAGAATGAGCGTTCAAGGGAAGAAGATATGCAGACAGCCTTCTTAAAAAGAAGTGGAAGGCAGGAGATTGTTCATTTCCTCCATGACTCATCTGAAGAGTGATGGAAGATTATATCGTTGCAGAAACCTCCAAAGTCTTTTACCTTTTAATTAATGTTTGGTCAGTTATTTCAAAAGCAACTGAGAATGCATTAGTTTGCCTGATTTGACTGATTAGTTTGATTGATGTTAGACATCTAGCAGTTTGCCTGGAATGAAGACCGTAGAAATTTGAGTGAAAATGGTTGGGTGGAAATGAGAAGTTGAGCTTGCAGATGAAGCTGGGAAGGGAGAGACTGGAACATATCATTTGCAGATGGCATACTTGGTTTGCATGCGGTCAGGGAAGGGAGGTAAAGCGATAGCTTGCACTAAGATCAGGAGGTCTGAAGTTGGCATAGAGCAAGGAGGCAAGGTATAACAGCAACATTGTTATGTCATCTCAAAGTCTGAGAAATTTAGTGTAAACAGTAGTAAGACTGTAAGAATAGGAAATGGTAGGAGAAGAACATGTTGATAATTATGCTAATACTGCTTCAGATGAGATAATGTTTATGACTGATCTATTCCATGTTTTCCAAAGGTATTTAGGTTTTCAGTTCCATGGGCAGGGTATACATGCTGATGCAATTTAAAATGCATCTCTATTTATGCCTAGGGGAGTTTGTATACTGCCTGTGGCTTTGATGATGAAATAGAAGGAAAGGGCTTTCCCTTCTTGAAAAGCCTGTGTTATGCAAAGCTTCTCAAAGATCCTCTTGTTTTGAATTCTGTGATATCAATCAAGGATTTTCTTTCCCCCTTCCTTTCCCTCCAGTGGCTTAATGAAGCAAAGATTATTCAGAGACTTGTGGAACTGATCCATTCAAGCCAGGATGAGGACGTGAGTATGACAAGACTTAAGTTTTGTCTTTGTGGGTAGCGGGTCCTGTAAGGTCCAGAAGACTCTCTCTGCCTCTATGATAATGCCCAGGTGACTTATGGAAGGGGATAATGAGGATGGTCTGTATGGGTGGACATCCTGTCCTCTGGTTGCTCAATACCAAAACATTTGTTGTATTTTTAATCTGGTTTTGACTTATTTTACTACTAATTTCTTAGTTCATTCTGCCACTACATCAGTTCGTCTCAATATCTACAGTCAGTGGTAACTTCCTTGGTTTTAAGTAGGAACCTGCTATTTGGAATGGGCTGTTGAAAATCTTTTTAAATTAACCAATTTGCTGTAACTTTCAATTCTTTTTAGACAATAAGTAAGTAGACATTCAGTTGTAGAATCTACAAGATGCAGTTCTCTGAGCCCATGAAAAGACATGCTGAGTATTAAATTTTGAGTGCTTTTTTTTTTTTTTTTATTCTGTCAATAATTTTCACAAAACATCCAAGCCAGGAGCTCTAGGTCTGGGTTTCAGTTTCCTACGCTATCATTTCACATTTGGGTGTTGACTGCCGTCCCTGATGCTGAGCAGGAAAAACACAAGGAAGCGTGTTGATCTCTAGCTGGTCTACTTTGGCTTAGGTGGGGATGGCAGCACTTGTTAACAGGTTCCTGTGAGTGTCAGTAGCAAAGTGAACTGGGTGGCACAGGATTCTTTTGGTGTAGTGTCAATGCCGACACTATGATTCCCTCATCTCATCACAGCAAAAAAAGCCCTTTCTGAGAGAAAAAATGGGAAGTAACACGCTGATTTGTGTGCCTTCAGCAGTGCTATCTTACGGATAAATGCTAAATTACAGCATAAGATCTTACACATACAGTAGCTACAGAGAGTCTTTGATTGATAGCCAGAATGAGATGATTAATTTATCAAAATACTACTTTAAAGCCTTTTAATACATAGTAATTAAATTGTAAAGGGTTTTATCAAGCCATTTATTCTCTTCATGGAGGAAACCTCCTGAGTCGTGAGAAGTAAGAATGAAATACTTGTATTTGAAATTTGCAAGTTAACACACTTGGTCAGGAAGATGAAAAAAGAATCCTCACTTTCTGAAATCTTTAACTGCATTTAACTGTTAAGTTCAGGAAGACCTCTTTGATTTTAAAATCTGTTAATGCTTCTAATAATTCACATCAATGTTGTATTTAACAGATGAAAATCTAGAGCATGGTAGCACTTGTTTTGAAAAATTCTCATTTATTCAGTTTCTTGTATTCCCAGCGATGTTAAATTTTTTCTGATGGCCAGAACGAGCCATGTAGAGACATTAGCACTGAAACATGCTCTATGTCATTGTTTACAGAGGCAATCAAATGCTTCCCAGACCCTGTGTGATATCATAAGATTGAGCAGAGACCAGAGCAATCAACTCCAGGATATACCTGAGCCTGATCCCCTTCTCACAGCACTGGAATCGTAAGTACCTGTCAGAGGACTGTTGCTAAACTAATTGCTACTAATATTGTCACTTACTGATAGCTCTCTAGAGACACAAACTATGCATGTCAAGCCTTTGCTTAACTCTTGGCATTTGTGCCAACCATTTAATATAGCTTTTAAATTGTAGCATCACCTAACTGCCTCTGTTGAGATTTCTGTGGTTTGTAGCTCTGTATGAAGGCAGGAGATTGGGGTTAGTGATCCCCAAAGCTCACAACCTAATTCAAGATGAGGTGATACTAGCGAGTGTGTTAAAACACTCATAGTGAATTTGGAGAAAGGTGAACTGCGATGGCAATAGTTGAGGCAAATCCCACAAAGACAAATCTTAAAATTCCTGCATGGACAGTGTTCCGTGGAGGTTTAATTTGGATATTAGGAAAAATTTCTTCACCAAAAGGGTTGTCAGGCATTGGAACAGGCTGCCCAAGGAAGTGGTGGAGTCACCATCCCTGGAGGTATTTAAAAGACATGTAGACATGGCACTTAGGGACTAGGGTTAGTGGTGGACTTGGCAGTGCTAGGCTAACAGTTGGACTCGAAGATCTTAAAGGTCTTTTCCAACCTAAATGATTCTATGATTCAGTCATACTTGGCTAATCAGTGGCTCTTAACTGCCCACTGGTGAACATGCTGCATGTACCATATAGACGGGTTTCAGATCATCAAGTTGCCGTTCTTCAAAATGGGGAAGCAAATGCTGTGACAAGAGAAGGAATTTCTCACTGTAGTACCTCATATGTCACCATGCGCATTGTTTTGTATGGGGCACTATCAGTTTGCCTTCCAACCTTTGCTGAGGTCTGCTTACACACTCTCAGTGTCCTCTGGCATGGTGTTTTGGCTCCCGAGTCAAATATCAGTTGTAGATTTCTTAACTTAAGTGAACCTTGGGATGCCTGCACTTCCACAGAGATCAGGTGGTGCTGAGATGCTGCCTGATACATTTCATCAAAGACTGCCTGCCTGCCTGTTACTTAGACTGAATCATTAATCTCCCTGGTTTTATTCCACAAATTTGGTTGAACCCTGAAAGAAGTAAGCCTGCACACTTTAAATGCCTCCCTAGCCCTCCTTGATCATTCAAAAAGTCATTCCATTTACTTGTGGTGTTAGGGCTAGACGGTGACAATTCAGATCTCTTCTCTCTGTGTACCATCCCTGTGGATCTCCTAATACACTGGAGTTGGTGTCAGCTATTTCTTTTTCCTCAAAGCCCGGTCACCTGTGACTGTCATGAACTCTCATGTCTCAGAAACATTGTGCAGTGCTTTAGAGATGGCACATCACAACGCAGATACGTAATTGGTTTGATCATTTTCTAACTTCTGATTGATAAACTTCGCAGACAAATTTGTAAATAGAGATACTGTTGTCTTTTATTAGGCCTGGTAGTTTGGCTGGAAAATGTAGAAAAGCTGTTTTGGTTCATGTTTTGTGATGCTTGCAGATGATCTTGTATAACCTACTTGAAGGTAGTATGTCACTAAATAATTGTGGGGAGGGGAATCTAGTGATTTCCATCATTTGGAAACTGTTGGGGTGTGTTGGGTTCTTCTAAAGATGTGATCGAGTGATAAATGTCACTAGCATACAGTCGGCAAAAGCAGCATTTGTAGTGTTTCAGTTTTTCTAAGTTGTGTTTGATAGGTGTTGTCTTGAAAAAAGGATGTAAGGATGCTTGTGATCCCAGCTAGCGGTGCGGAGCACTTTACAGAACCTGTCAGTCTATGTCCAGACAACTTGCAGTGAAACTTGGAAGAAGTTTTTTCATTGGAAGTTTGGTTTTGGGGTTTTTTTTCAAACGCGGAACTAACTTCTCTAGTATTACTGGGGGAATACATTGATAAGAAGCTTTCAAAGAGTATTTTTGTTAGGAGTTATTTCCCAAACAATGTTAAGTATGAGTTGTGTACCAGAACATGTTGATTTTTTAAGTGTACTCTATTCCCTTGGCATTGTTTCTTTGTAATGTAGCTTTAAATTATTTATGTTAGCATGTTTACCGCTTCCTACATTTGCTTCAAACCTAAGAACATTTATGGGAGAGTCAACATGAGATTGAAACCTAAAAAGGCTCTTCTAGGCCTAAAGGCACCACTTTGACAGAAAAGGGATGAAACAAGAGGCTGGCAATCAATAATATAGCATCTATAACTAGGGCTTAAAATTCCTATTTTCCATGTTTTTGTCGACTCGTAGCTTGCTTAATTTATGTGACATTGCTGTTATTTTCTCCTGATTCTGAGCTGTCGGTTCATACATGAATATCAGGGGCATCTGTTGGGACAGGAGCTGATGTGAGTAGGTGAAAGCAGGACGTGAATCGTGCTGCACACAAGCACTGAAAAGCCATGGGCTCTGCAGATGTGCACAGGATCTTTCACGGGCTTGATGTGTAACTCTGCACCTGCTGGGAAATGTTCTTTCTTAAATGCTTCATTTTCTTTACTGTGTCTACAGAAATAAGGCAGATCTGGCCTTTTGTCCCATGGCCTGCCATAATGCTTTCTTGTCAAATAGCACAATGTTGGATTTTCAGTGCAGATTGCATCCCTGATTGCAGAGCCTTCAGCATCTCATCAAGCCTGTATCAGTTTTAAGCCCTTTAAAGTTTGGAGATGAGCTCCAGCTTGGTCATTTCACCTGGGAAGCCCAGGGCCTTTAACGAGGGTCATGGTTCACTGTGGTGGGAGGTGTGGCGGGCCATGGAGAATGCAGTACTTTCAGACTTTTTCAGTAATTTTAGACTTTCTCGGTAGTCGTAGACTTTCTCAGTAGTTTTAGAGAGAGATGTGGAACCCTGCTGCGTGTGGGGCAGAACATTGCTGCCCATGGTCTTTCATGAGAGCCTTGGTGACACCAGTGGTATAATTTAAGCAAGTTTCCTTGATTATACAAAGAATTATACAAAACTGCAATTTGAAGTTTGCCTCATACTATACTCTGATGGTCTTTAGCTTCTTCCCCCTCTCCCTTCGCTCTCCCTCCCAGTTGCCTTCACTTCCCTGGTGCTCTCTGTGTATGCACTTTGCAAGTTTTCAAGGACTACCTGTAACTTCCAGGAGATAAATAAAAACGTTTTTGCACTTTAAAAAAACATTTTGAAGAGTCATTATACCACTTCACTGCTTAGAAGAAAAAATACTTTGAACGAAAGTGATGTTTTGCACAACTTACCTTTCTGCTGAAGGTCACATCTCATTACTTTTCTTGGCTAATTTTTCCAAGCATTGCTGGTAACCTTTGTTGATCTTTGGATAAGTTTTTTTTAATCTATGAATCATGAATTAATGATCAGCTAGTGCAGCAAGAAGGAGCCATGATCAAGGTTATGGAATAAATAGCAAATCTAGATTTTCAATAACTGTTGGCTGTATGCAATAAAAGTGAATTCAGTTAATCACGGTAAACTGTTACTTCTTTTTCCTGACTCTGCCTCTTGTGCTTGTGCTGATGGAGTGTATTTAGTTGCTACTTATTAAAATAATTTTCTCTCATGCATTATTCATGTATTTTACATTTTTATCTCGTATTTTATTTATACAAATGTAAATGAGATTTTTTTCAAATGCTAGAAAATAGTAAAAATTAGGCTGTGAACTTGAGTAATACTGTTTTTAGCTGGACATGTGACTTAGCAAGTCAAGAAAGGCACTTGATGAGTACTGGATTTTGGAGGACTGTCATTAACATCCTCAGAATTAGCATGAGGAAAGAATCTGAATACAGAGGTGGAAGCAGGCACTGCTGCAGTCAAGTAACTGTAGACGAGTAACAGTGCCAGCCTGAACCTCATATTCCTCATATCTATTATTCATTTAGCGTGGTAAATAGTAGAGAGAAGAGTGGGCTGTTACTTTTATGCTAATTCTTCTTCAACTCTAAGGCCATGTCAGAATAATTTTTAATGCTAGAAAGGACCAATGTCATTATTCATTCTGACTCCAACAGTCTTCAACACTTCACTTGGTGATCCCTCCACCTGGCCCCAAATCTGTCAGTATTTGGAAGGCGTTTTATCTTGGTTTAAGGGCTCAAAGAGGTGGTGAATTGATTAAGATATTTCAAGGGGATAATAGCTAAGACTACTAAAAATATGCATTTTATTTACAGTTTGCATTTGTTGGCCTCTGTTTCCAGGTGCTGGATCTTATTATGCCACTGGCAAATGATAAACGTCAGCTTCCACTGTTTGTTGTCTTCTGTGATTCTGATGGATAATTTTAGACCATCAGCTAATAGCTTCCTATTGTCTTTAATAAATTAAATTGACTGAGTTAACAATTGGGTTGTCTTCCTGTTTATAACTAAGAGGTATATCCTGTTGATAAAGGAGAATGACAAATTGGTTTGGAGTCTAGGTGTTTATAACCAGGTCTTGCCTTAGTGATGAGTAAGCGAGTTCAGAAACCTGGTGTAGAACTGTCCTGGTTTCAGCTGGGATGTAGTTAACTGCCTTCGTAGTAGCTGGTACAGTGCTATGTTTTGAGTTCAGTATGTGAAGAATGTTGATAACACTGATGTTTTCAGTTGTTGCTCAGTAGTGTTTAGACTAGAGTCAAGGATTTTTCAGCTTCTCATGCCCAGCCAGGGCACCTGACCCAAACTGGCCAACAGGGTATTCCATACCATGTGACGTCCCATCTAGTTTAGGAACTGGGAAGTGGGGGCGGGGCATTGCCGCTGGGGGACTAGCTGGGTGTTGGTCGGCGGGTGGTGAGCAATTGCCCTGCGCATCATTTGTGCATTCCAATCCTTTTATTACTACTGTTGTCATTTTATTAGTGTTATCATTATCATTATTAGTTTCTTCTTTTCTGTTCTATTAAACCGTTCTTATCTCAACCCAGGAGTTTTACTTCTTTTCCTGATTTTCTCCCCCATCCCACTGGATGCGGGGGGAGTGAGTGAGCGGCTGCGTGGTAGTTAGTTGCTGGCTGGGGTTAAACCACGACAAGAACCATTCTTGTCATATGAAACTTTAGAGAGGAATGTCTTTATTCTTTCTCAAAAAAAAAAAAAAAAAAAAATTGCAGCCTTTTTTTCCAGAAGACCCAGAAGTGGGTATTTTGTGAATAAAGCAACTGCCAAATACTTCTAATTCTTACACTGCTAATGTGTGTATGTTGATCAACAGGCAGGAATGTGTAGAGCAACTCCTGAAGAATATGTTTGATGGAGAACAGACTGAAAATTGCATAGTGAATGGAACACAAGTTCTTCTAACATTGCTGGAAACAAGGCGCTCTGGGTAAGTTAGCACTTGCTTCCCTAGCAAGAACAATTTTAGGAACTCAGATCTAGTTTTACTCAGTCAAAAAAGGAAATTTTTTGGCCTAGTGTGAAGTGCTGTCTAGAAATGAGTACAAGAAAAACTGTTTGGTTTATTGATGCAGTCACTGTATCTCATGGCAGCTGTACCAGTTGGCAACTGGGCCCTTCTATGGGCTCTTGTAGTTCTCTTGCACATGTATAGCAAAGTCTTGTCCGCAGTAGCAGAGGTCTTGCAGCAGAATGTATGCAGAATGGGGGAGGAAATGATGCATCGTGCATAATCTGTGTGATGATGTGTGCATATATATATATGGCTGTATAGTTTTAATTTTGTTTTTTAAAATTATATCCACCCTTTTTTTTTTTGTGGAGACAGAGGAGAGAAAAGGCAAAATAGAGTTCTGGGGAGGAAGGGAGACATTGAAAATCTCAATTTTTAAAAAAGGAGAAAATAAGGAAGAGTGAAGGAGGTGATGGAAGATTAGGAGGAGGTACTGGAGACTAGGACAGAAGATGGCACTGGACAAACAAGTTGCTAGTCAGAAAATCATGTGCAGGTTAAAACTGAAAAGTTGAGATGCTAATTCTGCTGTGTCTTGTGCCCAGGATCTCTGAAGATTTATAAGTTGGAGGCTTAGGGGTTCCTATCTAGCCCATTCCTGCCTTGCTGGAATTACATTTCATTACTGAAATGAAAGTATTTCTTTTATTCCAATGTGAGACTGCTGTTGGAATGGGCTAGCAATAGTTGTTGTAACTTACTGCTTGCCAATAAAGAGGTATGATAATGAGCACAGCTACATGCCTGCTCGAGGTTTTCATCAGTTAGTATATTTATGTACATCTTTTTGAACACTTGTGGAAGGTTTACAGTTTTTAACAAATGTTTATAGTGAACTCTTGCTGATGTAATTTACTTTTCAAATGTTTGGAAAGTCTTAAAAATCAGGAAGCACTTCAGTAATTTGTTTGTTAGCTCTGCAGACTTCCCACTCATCTCATTCACAGTTTTGTTATGTGAATATCATCTTGTAAATGATATATTAATATAATGTAGTTATGTAAATATATTCATTAGCTGAACATTATTATTTTTCATATTCATAGCTATTTTTCAAGAGAAAATGACCAATATGGACAGTGTGACTGGAGACCATTTTAAGATTTTGTCAAATCTTAACCGTTGTGCTTTTCTTCTTTACAGGGTAGAAGGACTGATGGACTCATACACTCAGGGATTTGAAAGGTCTTACACTGTCAATAGCAGCATCTTACATGGTATTGAACCAAGGCTAAAAGATTTCCACCAGCTGCTGCTCAGCCCTCCCAAGGTAGGGCATCTCAGCCTTTCTCAGGAGCAAATGGCTTCTGACCTGCATTTCAGGGTTTCCCTTTCCTTACACACAGGCTTCCTGGATATTTTCTGAAAGTGCCATATGCTGGAACCAGCGAACATCTTTTGAAGAAAAATGCACACTTAAAGTTTATAATTCAGGTGCTTAGGGACTAGGCAGTAGGAATTTTGAAAGCCATTGTATTCAAGTAAAACCAAGAAGTAGAGATACGTTGGGATTGGTGGCTTGTGTAAAGATGGCTAAGGGGTGAAGAGAAAGGAACTTTTAGTTAGTGGATATTTTGATTTTAATCTTCGGTTTTGGAAGTAGAAGTCTCACAGTGGTTGCATGACACTGTCCTCTGTGTGGGAAGATGGTTTAGGTTTACCTGAAGAGAATATTTATGAAATGAACTATTTATGTTTAGTCAAATCATTGTGCATACACACTCGAGGAAAGGAAATGTTGGTCCTCGCTGAGGTACTCATTATCTCTTTCTCTGATAGAAAACAGCAATCCTAACTACAATTGGTGTCTTGGAGGAGCCACTGGGGAATGCTCGTCTTCATGGATCTCGTCTAATAGCTGCTCTGCTTCACACAAACACTCCCAGTATTAATCAGGAACTATGCAGACTCAGTACCATGAATTTATTACTTGTGAGTAATACAGTGTGACACTGTGTAAGGGGAGAGGGGGCATAACTTTAAACTGGGAACATTTTTGCTTTCCCTTTCCATCTGTTCAGTGCAAGGTAGTTTGTTTTATGTGTGCCAGTGTCTAATTATTTTTCTAATCTGCTGAAAGTAGGAACATCCATCCTTAGAATAGCTTTTGTAATACGAATACAGATGCTTAGTATTTTGAACTGAACCTCATGCTTCAAATTAATTGTTACAGGAGTTTAGTAGTGCGTATGCAAAATAGTCTGGTTATTGAGAAAGCTTGGGTGTGTTGTGTGTATCAGCTCGCGTAATACTGAGGGGTGATCTTTTTGTCTAGCTGTGAACAGGGACGTGTTCTGAAAACTGCCGATATAACCTGGGCAGTCTTTCAGAAAATTATTTTTATACCTAGAAATTATTTAGTTAATATTTTCCTTATGATTAATTCAGCCACAGAATAGATAACTTTTTTTTTCAGTGTGTCTGTGCTGTGAGCCCTAGCTGTGTATGAGAGTATTTCCAGTGTGCTGAGTTTTATAGGAAAGTATACATTACAGCAGAGCAAACAGAGCACCTTCAACTATAAGTGGATACTGAGGCATATAAGTAAAATTGTTTTAGTGGAATTGCTGATTAAACAACTAGCTGGGCAGTGTTCTAATATCATTTGATTGTTAAAAATAGTAAGATACATCTAGAGTGAATTTTTTTCTCATTTTTTTCCAGGACTTATTTTTTAAATACACATGGAATAACTTTTTGCATTTCCAAGTGGAATTGTCCATAGCAGCTATTCTTTCACACTCTGTGCAAGAGGGAAAAACTATTACTAATGACCTAGAAAGCAAAGAAGAGGTGCTGAATGGAAATGTGGCTACAGAGAACTTAGAGACTCCAGAAAACAATACTGAGAATATCATGGTTACTCATGTAAGTCTCGTTGTGTCACCTGAGAATTTTAGATGGATTGATTCAGTCTGCGTATGCATTAACAAGAAAATGGTATGACTAACTGTTCAAGAGCATGGAGTTTATTTAAAAGTGTCTAGATATAACTTGGTTCTGTCAGTTCTGGATGGAAGTGTATTTGCTATTGTACATTTGTTTATAGCATCCAATTACAAAATAAACATACCACCCATCTCATTTAATGGGCTTGTGAATCCATTATTATTTAATTTTTTTTAGTAAAGATACATATAAACTTTGGACAAAAAAAAATAGTAACTACAAGTAGTTAACTACGTTTTAGCTTCTGGATTGTGGCCCCAATGATGACAACTTTTTGTTATGTTTGTAAAATGACAACAATGTTCTTCATTACTGCTCATGTGAAGCCCAAAAGCAGGCTGAAGATGTTTGTAGGTATTGCTGTTTTCCCTGGATCCTCTGAGAAAAAAATTGAGAAAGAAGAAACTTGAGCTCTTGGGAAAGATAAGTGCTGAACTTTAAGTTCTTGTTCAGTAGGAGTGAAGGAATGAACAAAAGTAACTATAGTTCAGTACAGACTTCCTAAGGCATGAGTCTTACTTTGGCAAACTTTTGAAATGTTCTTCCTATCTCTTCTTTTTTTTTTTTTTTCTCCCCTCTAGCTGTTCCAGAAATGCTGCCTAGTACAAAGGATATTGGATGCCTGGGAAGCCAATGACAAAATACAGTAAGGGATTTTGGGTTCAGAAGGCCTTTTTTCTAAGGCTGCAGATTAGAATATTGCCTTGAAGTATTCTTTCAATTATTTGGATAATTTACAACTTAATGGTGTCTAAAATGATTTGGATTTTGGTTGTGATTTGCAATTAGGATTATTTGCATGTTAAACAACAAATTCACCAAATAGGCATATAATTTGAAAGCATGATTATTTTTTTTAATGTTTATAACATCTCAACCCAAACACACAATATGCTTCTTTCTTGCTTTCTCAGGAAATTACATAGCATATTAACTTCTTTTTTTTTTTTTTCTTAAATGCATAATTATATTCTTCTTAGAGTGAACAGCTGTGTGGAAACTGAGGTGGGCAAGCATTTTTGCCCCAGATTTGCCCCACATTTAATATTCTAACTTTATAAAACAGTTGGATTTCATGCTGATTGCAATGATTATAAGAATGAAATAATTAAAAAAACCCTAAAACATATTAAAGTGAAAATATTATCTAGGCCTCTGTTTCTTTGTCTATCTAAATGTTTTGGTCCTCCCTCGCTATTTTGAGGTCTTTATGACTTCAAAGTGCTTTGTATTCCCAAAGTAATTATTTTAGGCTTACTGTCAGGCCATAATTGGTGGGTTGGGTTTTGGTTTGCTTTTTTTTTGTTTGGTTTGGGTTTGTTGGGGTTTTTTTGTTTGTTTTTTTCCCTCTGGCAACCCCTTGGGCTGTTGATAACAAATTTTGCTGATAGTTTCATTGCACAACTATCATTGTGCACAGTTTTGTAGGTAACAGAAATATCTGTGGTTGCTGCTTAAGAGTTTTCCTAATTAAATTAGGTAGGAACTAGAGCTCATACATATTTCATGCCAAACAGTTCCAGTCACCACACTGGAAAGAATTTTAATGGCAAGAAAAAAATACTGAGTTAACAAGAGGTATCTCAGATGGTGTGCTTTAAGAAGTTTGAGTTTATATGAAGATTATTGCATGCACTCAGTGAGGAGATGGAGTCAAGCACTGGGAGCCCCAGGGGTAGAGATTCCAAATTGAGAGCTTGGGAATTATTTCTTAAAAATCATCAGCAAGAATGGTGGTAATATTTTTTTCCTCTTGGATCATGGAATTTCTCCTTGGGTTCTCTTAGTTTCAGTTATTCCATATGTTCTTGATGAAGGACTTTATAACTACTAGAATTTAACTTCTAGGTAACCCACGTAATTCTTTTACTGCAGTCCATTTGATCTGCCTAGGTGATTAGAATTTAAAATAAAGTAAGTCTGGTCATCAGTGTGAGTTTATAGGAAACATCCATTTACTGTTGCCTTGCTATTCATGTAAATGTAGTAACCACCAGTTGTGGCATGGTTGATAAAAAGTATTTGGAAGTGTTGAAATAAAAGTTAATCTTGCATGTTTGCTGGCTGCATTCCAGCAGCGTGTTAAAGACTGCTCAACTCAGAAAAAATGTTGTATAGGTCCTCCCAGAGTATACAACCAAAGAAGACGGATACAACATTGCTGTATGCTGCTTTTATCACTGTGCACTTTAAATTTTTGAGAAAGCTTTGCAAGTGTGCTGGAAAACATGCGTTTCTGTAGAGAGCAATAGATCAGTGCCATGTGCCTTCGCCCCAGCTACGCACGGGTTTTTGTCCTCTCGTGCAGCTCTTTGCAGGTCTCTGATGAAGTGCTGCTGTAACGTGCGTCTGGGCGTGCCTGCGTGGTTCTGGGGGTACGTGGGGACCCCGTGTTCCCGGCTGCCCTGATGCAGGTGGGCTCCGACCCGAGGACAGTGGTGCCGGGGGTGGCTCTGGGCTCACAGCAGGACCGGTGCAGCCGAGGCGCTCAGCAGTGCCGTGGATCTGGGCTGGGGCTGTTAGCTCTCTCGTTGGTTTGAGGTGTGAAAGAAATTGGCACGAACCTGTGTGCAAAAAGGCTGTAGCTTAGCATTCGGAACTCATTTCCAGGTGTTTGTTTTATTTGAATAGTTCTCAACGCTGAATTTGGGGTTAGAGTGCTGTCCTTATTATAGGACATACGTACAGATATAGTTTGTATTGGCTTTGTACTCTGTTTTTTGCTACAGGAACATGTGGAGGGGCAAGACGTAGGGTTTTTTTCCAAACCGTCTAGTCTCCTCACCTGCATATGTTCAGCTCCAGCAGTAGGGGAAAGCCTGAGATAATTTCAGTATAAACTTAATCCTTTTTAGAGACTCAGGAGGTGCTGATCACACTTTTCAACGCGTGTGGAGGTCATAAAGAAAAAAAAAAAACAACTTGAAATGTAGCTGTAACTGCATGGGATGAGACGAGCTGATAACTGTCCGATAGTGTTGCTGTATTTGACCTGTCAGCTTAGACTGCTGCACACAAATCCCCCCAGCAAGGGCAGAGAAGAATTTATGCGAGCACAGCATACCAGCTCAAAATTAACTCTGATATATTTAGTGTCTTCCTCTCTCCCAAGGAAAAATAAAAGTCTTTATTATTATGCGTTGGCTCTGTTAGCATCTAGGAAAGAAACCTTTGTTTTACAGCTGGAGACTTAGTAACGTGAGGTGGAAGCTTCTTGTCATCCTGTTTGTAAGGAGTTTATTTTTGTTTAGTTTGATTCTGACCCACCAATTTTATTTGTGGTGGCTTGAGTCAACCTTCCAAAGATTGCTTCTTTGCTATCCAGTGAAGGAGAACTGATGAAGATTCAAAGTAACTTAGAGACTACTTGGACTTAGTGTTGGCTTCTTATATTTTTTTGAAAGGGGGAAATCTAATGGTTGTAGGTTAGTGTCTTTTGTTCTCTTGAATTCATCTGCTTAATACTTCAATCGCAAGTAAAACTCTAAAGATTTTTCAGTAGTAGTGATGTAAATTCTTATTGCTGTGAGTTTTCTTTAGTGGAAATTATAATCAGATTATTTATTTCTGCAGAAGTCTTTCAAAGTACCTGAGTAGAGCTTCCTCTTTGTAACTGGCTTAAATTTTATCTAGTGTATTCTGAACTGGACGAGTGATCAGTTTCCCTCTCAATACATGAAAAAATGCAGAAAGGTTCATTTGTTCTGTGTAAACTCATCCCATGTCCTGCCTGCATGAGCAGAGGGCATTCCTGCTTGATTCTCTGCTGCATCTTCTATACTAACCCTGCTTGGAGTAATGTGTACATATGTCAGATTGTTGCAACAGTGGGGAACTCTTAACATGTCTAGATTATGAAAGCAGTTATGACTGTGACCCTGGGATTCCTGGTGCCTGTTATGTTGCTACTGGCTGTTTTCTCTTTTCAGGGCAGAAGGTGGAATGAGGCGAGGCAATATGGGCCACCTCACCCGAATAGCCAACGCTGTAGTACAGAATATGGAGAAGGGCCCCATGCAGACTCAAATTAGTGAGTTCATTAAAGGTACATGCTCCTTTCTCCATTTCTTTTTTTTTTTTTTTTTTCCTCGATTAAATAACCCTTGGAGACCTTTTGGAAGGACTTTTATTGCATGTATTTCATGGGGGTCCCTTTTATAATGAAAATAATTTTGAGTTAAATATCACAATTTCCCATAACTTAAAAAAATGTCTGGACCAAATTTGGTTGCTTTTTGCTTTCATACAACTACACTGAAATTGTTGAAGCTTTGGTTTTGCAACCAGAGACTGAAGGTGACCTTTTTGTGCTAAAGAATGCTTCTTTTCTTCTGGATTTATGTGTGTGTTTATAGTGCTGACTTACAGCATTCTAGGGTGGTGCTTATAAGTGGTGTTTCTATGCTCCCTTATTCTTATACCTGTCTGAGAGGAAGAGAGACACAAGAGTAAATGATCACAGAGGCCCTACATCTCCGCTTTGTCGGAGATACTCATATTGCCAGGTTTTGTCCATTGTAACTTCATTGGACATTATTTTGAGAACTAGTTCTATATGATATTTTTGTGTGAGAGGAAATAAGATTTTGATTCTGCATCTATTACGGGAAACAATGAGCACAAACATGATTTGAGTTTCCATTTTTGGCTTCTAACAAACATACCAAATGGTAATGTAGTAACTTGGTGTGCTGTCATATCTACATGAAAATTGGGAAGTTATAAATATTTTAGTAAAGTCTGGAAGTTTCACAAGTCCTGTTTATTTCTCTCCATTGTTTTGCTGTACTGGGTCTGGCTGGGGTGAAGGTAACTTTATTCATAGCAGCTGTGCAGTGCTGTGTTTTGGATTTGTGAGTGTGGATAACACACCACTATTTTAGCTATTCCTGAGCAGTGCTTGCACAGCACCAAGGCTCTTTCTTTACCCACTCTTTCCCCACCCTCGGGGACAGATGGGGGTGGACAAGAGGCTGGGGGGGACACAGCCAGACAGCTGACTTGGACTGACTGAAGGGCTATTCCATGCCATGTCCTCAGCAGTAGGAATTGGGGGGACGGTCTTTCCAAGGTAGCTCCTGCTCAGAGGCTGGCTGATGGGAGGCGGTGAGAGAGTGCCTTTGATCACTCTTGGGTTTTATTTTTTCCTTCTTTTCTCCACTTATTAAACTTTCTTTATCTCCACCCATGGGTTTTTCTCAGTTATGGTCTTCCGGTTCTTTCCTCCATCCTGCTGTGGGGTGGAGTGAGCGAGCAGCTGGGTGGGTGCTTAGCTGCTGGCTGGGGTCAACACACCACAATCCCCAAGAAAGAAAAGGAAGAAAAGAGTAGAACTTGAGTCACTTGTATGCTTGTTTTCAGAAAGTTATAGTAAAAGTTTTGTATCTTTAGCCCACTGTAATTCCACAAGTGTGTCAAGATTGTTAAGACCAGTGATAGCTTACTGGCTGGCCTAATGAAATTTGTTCCTTTCTCTGCAGAATTTACCATTTTTAGAAAATCATGAGTAAAATGTAATTCACTTTACAGAGCACTTACATAATGCATGCATTACTTAGCTCATGTGCAGTTGTATGTGTCTGCTCAAAAACTTCCAGGTAACCAGTGGAGCTAAGTGACTGGCTTTGATCCCTTCTCATTGAGTTGTGGTAATCTTTATGGTGACCTTTTATTACAGAGCTACCTGAAGATTGCAGAGGGAGATGGGAGAGTTTTGTAGAAGAGACGCTGACAGAAACAAACAGGAGGAATACAGTGGATTTGGTGAGAACAGTGATATTGTGCATATTTCAGATAGGCCTGCTATCTTCTGGACTTTCTTTAACTAAAAAAAAGTTCTATTTCTGGGGTTTATTTCTTCTTTTGCTTGTTTTTATGACGTAGGCTTACAAAGGCAGAGTGTTTGTAGAAAACATATCCCATAATAGTTCTTCAAGCAGCAGCAGCTCTGATACATGGTGGTAAACTATAGTCCACGTTTCTGTGTTATTCACTGGGACAGTTCCTGTCTTCTGGGGTGTTTGGTCTTTGATTGTATTTGCAGAATTAAAGTATTTGAGCTTTCTTAGCTTTCACTTGTGCTTATTTTTTTGTACTTTTTTCAGGTGAGCACTCACCATCTGCACTCTTCCAGTGAGGATGAAGACATTGAGAGTGCTTTTCCCAATGAACTTTCTCTCCAGCAGGTGGGTTGACACATGCTCTTCACTATTCCTGGGAAGCTTGCTTCTCTGATTCACCCTTAATCTGTCCTAGTATAGAGCAGCTTCCTAAATTTTATTCTTTGTCAGTGTGTTCAGCTCTTTTGTGTTTTTCCAATATAGTTAGTTACGTGGCAGACTTCAGTCTAGACTCCAGTTGGGAATAAATTTGGCTCAGACTGCATGCAAGTCCCAGATACATGATGTGTCTCACATTTCTGTGAGGCTCTGCATATTTCTTGCTCTTTTCCTGGTTCTTTCCACACTAGGGGGCTGGGTCATCCTGAGGTTGTAGACCAGTTGCAGGGAGTTGCTGTAGTTCCCAGCCAACAAGGTAGTGTGCATCGCCTACTTGCAGTAGAATTGGAGCTGATAGTGGGGTTCTGCTTCCTCTTGGGCTGTGCAGTCTAATATTAAAAACTGAAAGAGCTATACTAAAATCTTAGCAGTAAAGAACAGTAAGCAGGAGCAGCAAGAGTGCTAAAAGCCCTTGACCTAGGAAGAAACAGAGGTAATTAAGGGTTCATCTGCATTTAGCAAAGATCTCAGGATCCTCAAAATCTGAGGTACTCTGTTAAAGCTCCATCAAATATATGGAAGCTGCTTTTCAGGATGAAATATTTAGACAAGTTCTTCCAATCTTTTTTGATGAATGTAAAGAACATTAGCAGAACATACAAGTTTCAACCTTTTTGGTAGGAAGCTACCTATGGGGAGTAAAAAACCAATCTCAATCTGAAATCTAGTTAAGGGTAAAAATGAGCTGAAAATAGTTTATAGTTATTCTTTTGTCCAAATACTCTAACTGCCTACTCTGATGTTACAAATACCTTTCTTTTCCTCAGCTGATACTTAGAAAGCGCATTAAAAAAGGGAAAATGCATTGTCTTTGTAAAAAAAAAAATTGTTTTGTCTTTTACTGTGACAAGTATCAATAGAAATATTGACAGGAGCCTGCAGAACTCCTCAGAAAGGAACATGGGTACTTCATATCACCTGCAGTGGAGTCACGACAAAATGCAGCTGCAGAGATGCATATTTGAATTACTTAGCTGTAGCTGGAGTGGGCTACCTACCAGTATTCAGAATTATCCTCCAAATAGGAGAAATTATCTGAAAAAATAAAAATGCAATGCGTAAGAGGAAATGTGAGAGTCTGTTTGGAGGCAGAAGCAATCCTTTTCATAAATAGAGAACAAGGCGTGGATGACAAGACAAGAATGTGACCAAAAGGATCTGGGCAATTATCCTGAGGTGCAAGCAAAAAAAGAGAAGACCCAAGCTGCTGCAGGAAACCAAACGTGATAGGTGGGAGTGTTGCCTCAAAGACATATGGAGTAATTTTCCCATTCTCCTTGGTGAACACCCAGTTGGAGGCAGTGAACTTCAAAAGTGATTTTTATTAGCAAAAGGTAAGGTAGAGGATAACAATGAGAATGATCGGTGGTGTAGAACATGACACGTGAAGAAAAGTTGAAAGAATTTGGTCCACTTGGTCAAGAGAAGACAAGATTATACAGAGACATATGCCTCATCCAGTAAGGAAGAGGGGTTTAGAGGAAGTCAAAAGTACCTTCTTGATGTCAGTGGTGGGTTTATATTGCAGTAAGGTAAATTTCATATTGCATCAGGGGAAAAGAAACAAATGAAAAAAACCCAATACAACATTTTAATAGAATAATGAAGCCAACAGATGGTTTACTGGGAAAATTTCATAACTCTCTTTGGAAGAAGTTAAAAGCAGATGAGAGAAGCATCTGTCCAGCACTGCAGAAGTCTGTTTGATCCCGCTTTGAGAAAGCAGGTTGTAGTAGATGATTTCTCAAAATTCGTCAGTTTTCTATGATATTAGTGCTTTCCTAGAATATGTGTTTTCAGCCGGCTTAACTGAATATCTTTGGACACCTTAATGATAGCTCTTTTTGGGTTCCGTTGCTCAGGCCTTCTCTGAGTACCAGATCCAGCAGATGACAGCTAACTTTGTGGATCAGTTTGGCTTTAACGATGAGGAGTTTGCAGACCAGGATGATAATATCAAGTAAGTTTATAAAACTTCAAGAGGCTTATATGTAGCATTTAAGCCTCTTTGGATCTAATCTTTCTTCTTTTGGTTCAGGTTTTAAAATGAACCTCACTGTGTACCTCCTCTGGCTTGAAACAAACAGAAGACTGATCAATGGCTTGGAAAACAGCTGACCTTTTTTTCTTTTTATAGGAGTCCACCCTGATCTCCAGAGACAGTTTTAGAACCAAGGAAAAGAGTTTCTTCATTTTGAAGAGAAATATTTTTAATAAAACACACAATTATTATCCAGCCATGTTCTAGAATAAATTTAATTGCACAGAAGGCAAAGCATTAGAGCTTACTCTAGGCAATTATACAGTTATTCTCCAGTGGCATTAAGTCCTTATTGAAATCAGGAGTAGAAAGAATAGTGTTCTGAAGCCCATGGAAAAATTTAGCCATTTTCTCTCTTCTGAAAAAGGAAACATAGATAAGGCAGGAGCAAATAACAGTTCAAAGAAGGCAGATATAGGTGGATTTAATGTTACGCGACTTGCTGAATTCAGTGTTTGGAATTTGTGCTGCTTTTATAGAACTACTGTAATCTAATTAAAACTGCAGCTCATCTTCTCACCCTAAAAGCTGTACCTAACAAAATTACTGGGTCTGTAATTATCTCGCTTGTCCATAACAGTTCAGAAATTGTAACCGTTTAGTATACAGTTATTGACAGATAAGTGCTCCAGGAGGATACCCAGTGTGTTTCCTGCTCGACGGTTTTGCCCATTCACTTTCATCTCATGGCAATGTTCATATCAGTCAAAGGAATTATTTGTCATCCAAGGTGACAGGGAGTGTATGTGGCATCCTAGGGCTGATACTTATGGGCCAGCAAATGTTGGGTCTGCTCTGCAAAGAACTGTGGGATCCTGATATCTTGGAATCCTGACAGAAACTGGAAACTTTTAGCCCAGAAAGCTCTGGGCATGCCACTTTGCTCCAACTCTTCAGCTGCTCCAGATCTGATTTATTGAGGATTCTTTTGCTGGTTCTGCTCAGATCATATTTTTAGCAACTACTGGGATCCATGAAATACCTCAAATAAAATGACAATGTGGAAATAGTTTGGCTGCTTCAGAGTTGCTTTCAAGGATGAATCAAAGTAGAGAGTCATAAGATCCCTAGGGTCGTCGGAGCTCCATTAAGGTGTTTGCCAAATAGTTGGGAGCTGTATTCTAACATGGAGAAAGATTTTGGAGTCCAGCTTTTCCTGTCTTTTTTCTTTATGAGCATTGTAGATGTCCAGAACTTTAATAAGGCCAAAAAGTTCCAGACTAGAATGAGAGTTTAATGGAACATGGATTACTTAGTTCTACATATTTTTAAAAAAATAAAATACACTTTTAACTTCTTATCAAATAGCAGCAAATATTGAACTTGTGTGTGTGTAAGTGGAGGGGAAGACTTAACTTATGTGAGGAGCTGCTGAAGGTAGGAATGTCCATTTTAAAATGAACATGAAACTGAACAAAATCTGTAATTGGGATGTGCTAGCCTTCTCTGTATTCGTGATTACAAAAGGAGGAATATACTACAGAACTCTTCTGGCATTGAACATTCTGAGTGGTGCTCCCTGTCATCTGTTTTCCAGCTGTTGAAAACTGTTGCAGATAGGAATTTGAATATTTTAAGAAATACTATTCATGTTTCAGTGTCCTGGTGATTTGCATGATGGTATTTTTTTTGCTAACTGAACAGTCTTGTTTAAAAGAAAGTAACACTGTCCAAACTCAGAGGTACATAGATATGGTGAAAAAATACTGCATTGACCCAAACTGTGCTAGTAGGTTGGAGTTTTTTGGCCTGTAGCACCCTCTGCTGTTCTTACAGTAGACTCTCTTGGGTGCAAATCAGAAATTGGGATATTTAATGATTTTTGCAGCATTCATGTCTTAGTAATGCGTTGGGGTTGTTGAGCCACTGGTAGACTAAGATTCCCTGAAGCTACTGTAATCATGTTAAAACAGGCAGGTGTGATCCCATCTGGATATTTCTGGGTATATGCCCACTGTGCAGGATTCGGTCTCTCTGGGTCTTGTCTCATGCAGAGGAACCCAGTGGAATTCTTGGGTGAACACAGGACTGGAATCCCAGAGCAGCTGGGTGCAGCTCCTTCTCTTTTTAATTAATTACGAGTTTGGGTTTTTTCTATAAGATTTGGTTCAGCTGGAAAGACCCGGTAAAAAAAATTAAGATAGCCTTTGTGCTGCATAGGTACCATGCAACTTGCAAAGTAACAGCCAGACATTGCTGTGGTTGCCATGAAGCCTCAAAATACCATATTATCAAGATAATGACAAAGGTTGTTCATTCAGTTATTGAATCAGGCCTAAGCATGAAAATCTGAAATAATCTTTCATCTCAAAGAGAAGAGACTATTGCACACAAGACAGAAGTGAATATTTGGGGAACAAATGCAGAAGGCGTTGAGTGTCTCTGTGGTTAGCTATCCTCTGGTCTTTTGTTGGGGGTGCAAAAGTGCTTTGTTGTTCCATGCCATCACTGAAGTTTCTTTCCCTTCTTTTTGCAGTGCTCCCTTTGACAGGATCGCAGAGATAAACTTCAATATAGATGCAGATGATGACAGTGTAAGTGGGCATTTTGGGATATTTATTTAATAGGACAGATTCTGGCAAGGTTATGCTTGAATCAGCTGTTGTCATTTTGAAAGAAAGAAGATTTGTATGTTATTTTCGTCAATGAAAAGGTGTCCTTGTAGCTGAGTCCAGTTAAGGAACTCAGGGTATTACATGTGCCCTCAGAGAATCTCCCTACAGTTCATAGCTTTGGTGAGGATCTTCAGAAATAGTACTCTACATTGAAGGACTCTCTCTCTCTCTCTCTGTGCAGTGTCAGTCTGTTGTCCTTATTTTTACTTTGATAATCTTTCCATGCACAGACTAGGAAAAAATGCAAATAGAGAGGACTTACGGGTCTAAATATTGCCATGCTGTTTCTTGCCTTTTCTCTTTTATTGACCTAAATCAGTACTCGTTGAAAAAGCTGGACAGTGGCTGAAAGAGGTGATTCCAGGCTCATCTCCTGACGGAAGCTTGTTTTTGTCAATACTAAGACTTAGGTTTCCTCAGTCTTAAAATGCTTTCTTTTTCACTTGAACAGTACTACAAAGAGTTTTTCTTCTCTCTTTTGGCTGCTCTAGACAGTGCTGTATAGATACAGAAAATTTGTTTTCTTTTTGAATCTGCCAGCTAAGTCTGCAGCCACCACTAGCTATTTATACGCTCATCTTAACTTGTTTTTTTTCTGAGTAGGCAGTTTTTGTGTGTGATGAAATTCTAATGCAGCCATTGGTTTGGACTGTGCATCATCTGGAAGTCACCATTAAGTCTTTTGATTGAGAGATCCCAGAACACTCAAATAGGCAGACCATTTGTATATTTATGCGGATACCTCACTTTACTGGTGTCTGAAAACTGTCATTTCCAGAATGGAAGGTTATATGTTTTGAAGCAGGGGGTGTGTGCACATGAGTTAAGTGTTGTCATATTTGCTTAGAAGCTCCTTGCAGTTCTGTCAAGGAGAATGCAGTCATTGAAAGAAATTGCACTGTGGGTTGTTAGTCCAAGCGGGACAGTTTGCATACATGGCATGGCTTTATTCTCTAAGTTCCAAGCTGGTCGGTTTGCAAATGTATGCTTAAGGTCATTTGTTCCAGCCCTTTTCTACAGTGACTTTATATCCCTGCCACTGTGAGGGATGCAGAGAGATTTGCATAACAGAATAGCTATGAGGCAGCGTGCAGGAGTTCCTGCTGTTTTGGAAGGAGTGTAGGCTGAGAAACTGTTGTGTGTGTTTCTTCATCTATCATGGGCTTGCTGCTTCTGAGCACACTGTGCTATTATTACTCTTCCACAGCTGAACATTGCTTGCTGCACAGCTTGGGATGTACAATGAAAGAAATGCCAACACCTTTATGGTATTAGTTGTTTACAAATGCTGTTCTATGAACTTCCTCATCACTGAAGCTCTTGTGTCTGTCTCCAAAGAATGAATGGAATTTGATTTCTTCTTAATATTATTTTAGCCCAATGCTTCCCTCTTTGAAGCCTGCTGCAATGAGCGGATCCAACAATTTGATGATAATGAGGAAGAAGAAGATATCTGGGAAGAGAAGGAGATAACCTATGCAACCCAAGTTAAATCAAGAACACGGTAAGGTGAAAACAAAAGATCGATTTTTTTTTTATTATTATTATTATTATTATTTATTTATTTTCCCCTAAATGCTGTGAAACTGTACATTTCAGTTAAGTGCATGTTTAATTGTTACTTATGTGCTGTGAGGCCTTTTTCTAACGGAAACCAGAGTGCTTTCCATGTCACACTTCTGCAAAAAGAGGTGATGGTTTGTCTTGAATGTGAAACAAAGATCCAATTTGAGGGAATGCAATAATGATGGAAACACCTAATTACTGAGTCTGTTGTCAAAGAAATTAAAAAAAAACCCCACCCTTAGTTCAAAATACTTAGAACTTACTTACTCTTTTCTTCATATTTGAAGAGGAGGAGGCTGAGAGAATAGTAAGACTGAGGGAAGTAGACAGAATATTCTTTTCAAAATGTTGAAAGAGGAAAAGTAATATTTTACATGAGAGTGAGTGACCTCCTGTGGTGCATCTCTGGCATTGCAAATCATTTACAATCTTTCATCCCTTTGATGTGGTCAGTTATTAAATGAAGTTACTTCTATAATTCTAAGTCTGAAAATATGATCAAATGAGACAGGAAAAATGGCCAAGACCTTAGTGTTTATTTGCATAGCATCAATAAACGGATTGTCTTGTTCATACACAGAGTCGATACTACACTAGTATTCCCCTCATTTGCCACTGTTTTGTCTGCTCATATCAATATCCAGCCCTGAATATGTCACTGCAACATATTTCCCATTACAACTCTGCAGATGCATTTTGACAAGTAAAGCACATAGGGACTTCAGTGGAAGTATCTGGAGGAGTGCCTGGTATTGTCTGTCTGAGCTTTGTCTCTTTTTGGGAAATAAGCTCTGTAAAAGGCATTCAGCATCACTTGGTCAACTCGCATTTTGTATTTTCTCCCTGGGGCAGGGAGGAAGCAGGTGAGGGATGAACTGGATGCTGTAAGGGTTTTTCTAATTCTGAGTTCTGCAATTTAGATTTGGAGCATCTCAGACCTCAGAGAGTTCATCAAAAAGTGATCTTGAGAATGGAGATCATGATGGTAGTGTGGACTCCGAAGAAGAGGAGGAAACAGAACAGCAGCCGCCTCCTTCCTCAGCAAACAACAACAAGAATAATATTTCTGAGCAGAAAGATTCTGACTCCTCTGAAGGTAAAGAGTTTAAAACAGCACCATCCCACTGGTGGGATGAGATCTGCAATCATCTCTTCAGAATAGCAGTTTGCAAATCCCCTGGTTTCTATGGCTATTCTGTAATTCCACCTGTGCAGATAAGAGTGAATTTCAGTTTCATTTTTTGCCTCTGAAATATTAGTGAGATTGAGCCCTGCCAAGCTTCTTCAGAATAGTAGTGTGATGCTTCAGTTATGCTAAGACAGCTACACAGGTACAAGTTACCATACTACCACTAGCTCTTTTAGTACAAATACTAATGAACAAAATATTATTGGAGCATTAAGACATTAACTCCTTACATTATATTATGAATTTTATGCAGACCCTTGCCAAGTATCTCCACACTCCATGTAGATGCTGCATGTAGGTCTCTTCTGCCTAACTGCCTTTCTAATTTTAGTTTGCATGTTGCAAACCCATTCTTACAATGCCTAGAGGAAGGCTGGAGAGGGACAAGGTTTTCCCAGATCACAATGCAAATAAGGCTATATAAATTCATGAGACACACAGTGTTGTCAGCAAAACCAATTTGGTCAACTGAAATAGAGACAAAAATGTTAACATTCATTCCTTGTTTGGTGAAAGTATTTTCAGTTTAAAAATGTTTCTTTTCCTGGGTGTAACTGTGAGCTTAATGCGTATTTATTCCAGTAATCAGCTCTCTACACCCATTTGGTAGTCTCAGATATTTTCGATTCTTATTAGGAAGAACCAGTATAAACAACACAAATGGCAACCTGTGGATAGTGTACATCAGTTTAGTTACCCTTCTAGAGACTTTGGTTCAAATTCTTGTTCAATTTTTGAGTGAGTGTAAACTTGGTGGATCTCTCCTACTCTCAGTTTTGTTGCGTGCAAATCAGTTTGCACAACAGGCCTCTGCAATCCTTTCTTGAGAAAAAGGTCTTGAAAAATGCTTTTTAAAAAATTGTGATTGGTAGGGATAGAAGTATGTTCTAATGAATAAGGAGTAGGCTGGGACCGTAAAAAACAAATTATGTTCTTAGTTTTGCTCAAGATGACTTCTGTGATCTTAAACGTTTTATTCCATATATCAATTCCTTACCTGTAATTGCCAAAATTAAACAGTTAGTGATTGAAGTGGTTGAAAGCCATGCCACTTAGCTTTTGACAGGAAACTAAGGTACTTAGAGTTCAGTTGCAAATCACTGGCTGAAAGAATGAAGACATTCATAATGTCATTTTTCTTAACTGATGCTTCTTTCTTGTGGATAACGTTAGTATTTATCAGAAGAGGGATTTTCAAGCTGATTGTCTAAAACATGTGAGACAGGAAGCTTCCTGTAGATTTTGAAGGAGTGCCATTGGATGGTCTTTCCTTTTTTGTCTCTGGGATCACTTTTTGGGATGTCCAAAGATTCTAAAAACTGCTAAGCATTCCAGTCCATTGTTCTGTGTCTCTAGGGTCTGGATGGACGGCTGTGTTTGAGCCCGTGAACTCGAAGCCCCCTGCACCCTGTGTTGCCATGGATGTTGGATCGAGTGTATGGGATTCAGCAGCTCCAGAGAACACCACGCCAGAGGAGAAAGGATGGGCAAAGTTTACAGACTTCCAGCCTTTCTGTTGGTAAGAGAGGCACACATTCTTTCTTTATAACTTTTGAATGAAAGAATATTTGAAATACAGTTTGATGGAGTGCATTTACTGTGATATTTTCTTCTTCCCTTTCCCTTCCCCTTGCTACACCTTTTATTTTTTAATAAAGTCTGAGTATTCTGGATCAGGGCTTCATACTTCCCTTTGTCTTCCAGTGCTTCTAACTGGTGTTAGCATTCATGTCTTATGATACAGGAATACTTTATGTATCATCACTGCTGCTACACTAGGAGTATAAAATAAGTAAATGAATACGTTTTTTAGAAGTTAAAAGCCCTAATGATTTCTTCTCTTGGGAATATTTGGAAGCACAACCAAGATATCTGTACTTCATTCTCAAGACTTTTTCTTCCCCTACTTTAGCTCAGAATCAGGTCCACGATGCAGTTCTCCTGTCGATACAGAAAGCAACGATTCAGATGGAAACCCGAAGCAGAGTCAGGACAAAAACTGTAAGTGAGAATGTTACCAGACAAAACAGATGTATTATTTAAGCTGTTTGGAATTTTGCAGAGCGTATCAAGTCTGCTAGGGAGAACTTCCCTCCACTGTCATCTGCCTTCTCTTCCTTGAAGGCTCTCTTTCGTACAGAGATCAGTCTATTAAAAGAGTAACTCAGAAATCCTGAATGCTTGTTGGGATAATATTATTCAGCGAGAAAAGGATGAAATTTAAGTTAGTGAGAGTTGATGTCACAGAGTCAATCATTTGTAAACTGTTCAAAAGTCCTAGTCTAACTGTATGCTTGATTATAAAATTACTTGCCAAAAATTAAAAGGATGGGGTAGGTTATACTATTGGTAATTGTGCTGAGCTAGTTGGTTAGCCTCAGTCTGATTTCTCTCCCTCCTTTCTGAGCAAAGAAAAATAAAATTTAACAAAGCACTTTGATGGAACTAAATTAAACTTTTGTCTGTAGTAACCACTGAAAGGTGGCTAATACTGGAAGGGAGAGCACAGTATCTTTTTCTGCCACATGCATTTTCTGGTATGCTCTCCCAGCAGAGCTAGAGGTTCAGTTCAGTAGAGCTCAGACTGGCTATGATGACTGCTTTATGTATTGCACATTGTTTAAGCCTACCTGGGTAGTGATCTTCAGTCAGGCACTGTGCATTACATCAAGCAGTGTGAGCAGGTACCAACTTCAGAAAGAAAACCACTCTCTGAGACTACAACACTTCTATGCCACTTTCGTGAGAGGCTTTTCTTGCTAGGCTTGTATGTGGAATGGAAACCAATGAACACTTCAAAAAGTATAGCTGCTTAAATTATACCACAACAAGTTCTCAGAGCTAAGTTAAGTTAGCAAAGACCCCAGGGACTGCCTTAATCCTCTGTTCAGAGTTATCACTGTTCCACAAGTGAAGAAAATAGTCTCCTCTGTTACGTGTTTAAACACAGACGTGAGGTGGCAGGTGGAGAACACTGATTTGTGGGGTTGGGTTTTTTTCTCACTTGCAAAAATAATATTGCATGCTGTGGGATCTGCACAGAAACCGTCATCTCAAAATTTGCAATAATTGTAAACACTCCATTTTACACCACCCTACTTATTCGGGATTGTACCTGGGGAGTTGTTCCTGTGGTTTTGTTAATTTTGCAATGTGAATTATTTACTTTTCTCAGTCAGCGCTGCCTCTCCCTGTGTTTGGAACGTGTGCGTCACGAGGAAAGCACCGCTGGTGGCCTCTGACAGCAGCTCCTCTGGAGGCTCTGACAGCGACGAGGAGGAGGATAAAGCTGATATCGTCACAGAAACCATCAGCACAGGCTCAGGCCAGGAAACCATCAAGCTGACTATGGATGCTAAAAATGAGAAGGCTGTTTTCACCAGGTGCGAAAGGAATCTCCTTGGGCTGGGGTCTTGCTCTGCCCTGGTTTTACCCCTTGTGTTGCTAGGGGTTAATATATTACTTTTCCCTTTTAGACACCATGGTTCCAAATGTCCTGTGTGAGGAGAATGTTTTACAGCTTTCTTGTCACAGGGGTTTTGTTCTAAGAAAGTGTTTATAATGGGTTTATTTTAAGAAACGTGTGTGGCTCATTTTAGTCACTGAGCCATGTCACAGAAGCATCACCCGTTTGTCTGCCTGGTTGCACAAGAGATCTGGGCCTGGGCTCATGCAGGGGTGCCAGGTCAGATCGCGCAGAAGAGTGAGCAAAGCCTCACTGATGGCAGGTGCGAGGTCTGACATGGCATCAGTGTGTAGTCTTGCAGGGGGGAAGATTTAAATGACTCAAGCTATCGTTTTCCCCTCATTGTCAAAGTAGTACATTATAGGCAATAAATGATAAAAAATGCAAAATACCAGAAGAAGATATAGCAGATCCTGAGATTTGTTAGCTTTTGGGCAGGAGTTTGGTTGGAATTGCATGTGCTCGAATCTAGCCTACATTAATCATTTGAGGGGGGGAAGTTAATTTTCAAAACAGTAAGCATCTAGTTCACTTTGGTGCATCCAGAAATATTACCGAATTTTAAGATATTTGGTTTTTTTCCTCATATTCCTTACAAGTATGTAGGGTATGATTTAACTAGTTGGAGTCACTGTATTTTGTGCATCTGACTCAGGAACAGGCATTTACTTTTTATAATGTTGTGGTTATGTGACTTTTTTGGATAGTAAACGTGAGCTGCTTGGCATGTGTACAAACTCCAGCAAATAGCTACTAGGAGTTAAAAAGCAGTGGCTCAGAAAACAAGTGGGATTACAGGACTAAGTAAAAATATGGGAGGCAGTTAACCAAAGGTACGTTTGGTTAGGCAACTCTGAATTGAGTTTTTAATAACATGACTGAGTTTTATTTTTTATGTCCACCTCACATGGCCTTTACTCTTCATACTTGAAATAAGAAAGATCCCTGAGATTTCTTTGCTTGCAGTGATTGCATCTGAAGAGCTGTTTTGATAAATGGTGTTAGTTTGTATGCATAGGGACGGCATGGCCAAGCAGACTGGCTTCATGAAAAATGAAAGATGAGGAAAATAAGACTACTGCCTGCTGTGCTAAAAGCAGCATCTCCGTTTTCAGTGTACTTGAATTATATCTAATTAAATCCATTGGCATGTGTATCTAAAACAAACTCTGTGCTCCAGATGTTTTTCCTCTCTGAATGCATGGTGTAAGTAGAGTAGTATTACACGTGACTGTCTGGATTCACAGTAGCAGTGTAAATCTTATTTGGCATGTTCTTAGGTCTTCCATTTATTTCCTAGCAGGTAGGATTTTTTTAAAATTTCTTTTCTGATTTGGCTGGTTAGATGTTGTAGGCTATACTGGTGTTTCAGGCAGTGTAATTTTGAACATGTTTTTCTCTCTAAATAAGTGTATATAACTCGAGCACTTTCAATAAGGACAAGGCTTCCAGAACCTGCTTGGTTTTGCATGACTGTAGTTCTACAAAATGAATTCCATTTTGGCAAAGAAAATAAATACTTGAATAACCACAGTCTCCACTTTAAAGGTGGCTGTAGCTTTCCACAGCTATAACCACAGCCAAAAATCAAAATAGAAGCTGTGGGAAGACAGAAGCCTGTGACATAAATTGTGATTTCAGCTGTTCCAGATCTGTTTCAAGCCATCTTGACCAGTGACAATAATGGAAACTTCCTGGTATCCCCAGCTCTCCCAAACCAGTCTGCCTTCTGTTGGAACAGATGCAGTTAAACTCAAATGGCCTGTAGTGAATATATTCATTTCTTACCATGTTCCTTAATGATGCCAAGGAAATGAAAAATGCTGAAAGTTTGAGTATTTTGGGTTGAGTATGTGGTTCTTGATGACTTTCCACAAGCACTTCCCCAAAAGTGCTAAACTTTTACCAAACTGCATTCCTATTTCTGTAGAAACAGGTCTTCTCCTTTTTTCCCCTCCCTGCAATACTGAAGTCTACAGTGGGGATCTTTAATACTCCTTGGAGCTACAGAAGGACTCTGTGGATTCTACAATCACTAGGGTCATGAAGGCTCCAGATCTTACAGTACATGCCTCCAGATGTTACAGTACATGCCTCTAAATACCCTCCATGATCATCTTCTCAACTGCTATTGCTTCTCTGCCTGCCTGTACTGCCCCAAAATTTAAACTCTGGAAGGCTAATGATTTGTCTTTTGCAAGGCTTGGTAGAATGTCCCTCATGGCAGTTCTGCTTAAACTCTGACTGAGAATATTGGCTACCTTAAACATGATACAAAAGAAGGTGTTTCAGATGTATTTAGCTAATTTCTCTACTTTAAATGTATTTAGCTAACTTCCTTTCCCATATCTACTTCTATATAGTGGTTTCTTGTGAAAAAATAAGTAGTTTTGCAGAAGTTCTCTGACTAAAGAGCTTCCAGTATTGCTAAATCTCACTCTTTGATAACTTCAGAAAGTGTGTGTTAGTCTTGAGAAAGATGCTTTTTACAGTGTATCCAATCTTCTGCTTTTTTTGTATATTGATCTGAATTTTATGTGGAAAATTATGTGTTCAGTGATTATACTCTTTGAAATAGCTTTTCAATGTTCCTGCATATTCTCCTGGCAGGAGCACCACTTGAGGATACAATTGCAAAGTTAATTCTTTTGTCTGTTTTTTCAGCAATCTTTACTGTTTTCTTTTTCTTCCTTTTTTTGCTTTCTTTCTATTTCTGCCTCTCTTGCTGCCTTTCTCTCTTGCTGTGGGTATTGCTCAGAGTATTTAGACCTGCAGTCAGAGGGTATGTATGACGGTGACCTTCTCAGGGTTCCAAACATCCACCTGACAAGTAGTTTCTCCCATTAGTTACTTCATACTGGGCTGGAAAAAAGAGCTGTTGGACCATTGGACTGGGAAAGCTCATCTTTTCACAATCAGTTAAAACAGATCCTAGAAATTATATTTCGAAAACCTGAATTTGAGGTTGTGTATAGTCCTTTGTGAAAGTATGCACACAGTCAACATAGCCATTGATGAACCATTAAAAAGCAAATAGAGTGTTTAGTAGTTTCATGCATCGTGTCCTTGAGCTTCTGCCATTCCACCTGTTTGTGAGCTCTTTCTGCAAATAGGATTTTTTTTATTATTTTAAAGGGAAAGTTCATGCTCTAGTCAGGATGACTATAGGGAAGCCTTGCTGACTGCTGTTTGCTAATGCACACACTGCTAGAGGTGCTGCCTATGTTAGGTGGGGTAGTGGTCAAGTCTTTTTGACTCTTTCTCACAACAGCACTAACAAATATTTTACTTGCATGTTGTAATACGCCATAAAATAATGGTTGATGTATTTTCCAAAGGCTTTTTTTTTTCTTTTTTTGTTACCAAATACTTTTTTTTTCCCCAATGTTTTCTTTCCATTTTAAATTGTGGTTTTTTTACTGATTATTTTCTAGAATTCATCCATTGAAATTAATTTTCCCAGTCACTGTGCAAGCTAGCAAGACTTTGCTGTAATTTCTGGATGAGATCAGAGACAAAAAGAGAAATTCACTGTAATAAGCATGTCTCATAACTGTTTAATTTGAAGAGGAGTATGTTACAGCAAACATGTAAACTTTCAGTTGTAGAAAGCACAGTTACCTGATGAAGAGAAATACCATCTTGACTTCTCTCAGCAGGAGGTTCAGAAAATGCAGCTCAGCATGTGCCTGCAGTCTCCAGAGACTAAAGGCTTTCAAAATTGTAAGCTGCATGGTATTTTGAAATAGTTGTAATTACAACACGTACTTATTTAACTTACTATTTTAATAATTAACAATGTCATTTTAACAAACTTTTGAAAGTTTTCTGCCTCTTTCATAAGTAGGCAAGTACGTATTGCATTTATCTCACACTACGTGCTATCAGACTGTACGTTTTGCCAGAAAAATGTAGTAATATTCCAACTGTTAATGAGTGATCTGAGAGGTGTAGTCCATGCCAGTATTTGGCTAAGCATTCTCGAAGCTGTTCAGAGCAAGCGCAAGCTGTGAAGGTCTCGGAAATTTCTGCAAGGCTTTGCTGAAGTTGTAGGAGCAATCGATGAATGAGATAGGTGAAATGTGAGGGCTCTGCAGCAGTGTTAACCCGGGCAGCTCCGTATTGCTCGTGTCTATCGATCTATGTGTAGCAGAACAGTCATGAGACTTGCATTTAATGGGGAAAGCAGAATAATGGATGCAAAAGTGTATGCAATGTGAGCAGTACTTCTTGTGGGAAATGACTTGCATTTCTGTGTCTGTGTGCTTAATTTTTAATGGTATGATATTAACCCAGCTTTTGAAAATCAGAAAGAAGAAATGCAAAAGCTTATCTGAAGTATTTTGCTGCTGAGTTGTTCAAATAAGGTTTCTAAGGAGCTCTTAAAAAGATGAGCTACACTTAAAAAATCTGGCTAAAAAAAATCCAGCTAAAAAAAAAAAATCCAGCTTTGCTGTGTATGGTGATAGTGGGCTTGGGATGTTTGCAACTTTTAATTTCTCTTCCCCTTTAACTTTACCTAAAATGCTTTTTTCCCATCTAATCTTTTCTTTTTTCTTTTTTTTTTTAATGGTTGGATATGTTTACTGTCCCTTTTCCCTAGTGCCTCCTCACCCAACTAGCTTGGATAAGCAACTGAAAAAGAAAGTTTAGAGGGGAGACTGGAATCCATCTGAAAATAGTGGTTGCTGCCTGTTAAAAACAAATATATTTCTTCTGTGTCTGTATGATACCAACTCTCATTTAGTGCATTCTTCAGCTTTGGAGGCAGACACTGTAGGTGCTGCAGCGGTTTCCTTAGAACTGAGGTGAAAATGAGAAAACACTAGCAATTTCTGCATTTTGCAGAAATTTCTTCAGTTTCTGCATTACAGTTTCTGTAAAATCACTGTAAAAGTCTCCCCTTGTTTCTGATCA